CTCTCTCCTCCTCCTCCTCTGAAATGTCCTCCCCCCACTTTTTTTCTTTCCAGAATTACCCCACATCATGAAAGGGTGACTGTGCTCACCCATCAGGATAAACCCCGGTTGCTTAATCCCAGTGTGTGATGTATGTATGCGGCAAAATGAAGTGGGTGTACAACAACTCTCCACCGAGCTGTGAGTCAGGAGAGATCATCTGTGGGGTTGTTGTTGTTTTTTACACAGCAATCGAGCAGAATTCATTGGGGTTTTTTGTGCCATGGGGGAGCCCGATCGGATGAGGGGTCACGTGATCCCCTTTTTGCAAAATTTTGGCCTCGGTTGTGGTGGTAAAGCGAGGACCACCTCTGCAAATATGAATTCTGGTTTTGCTCAGATGGGGGTCTTTTGCATCTAGCACCTCTCCAAGGTCAAGCTCCATCCACTTTGTTCAGCTCTGCACAGCCATGCCCAGGACTTTTTGTGCCCTAGATTGAAGTTCCTGTAGCATTATACAATCTTGCTGTTTGCATTTCCTGAGTGGGTTTGGGAATAAGGGGGGGGGGCGTTCTTGCTTTCTGCTTGACCTTGGAACCTTGCAGAAGCCGGAAAGTTTTTTTTTTTCTCTCTCTCTCTCTCTAGCTGAAAATGTGTTGCACATGTGTGTGTCAGGGTTTCCTTCCTGGAGGGGGGGAAATTGAGACCACACTCACCATCTTGCAGCAATGACAGCTTAGCTGGATGGAAGAGCAATAATAGGGTGGCTAAGCTCTTTTTTATTCTCTTTAAAAAAAAAAAAAACTTTCGCCTTGCACATCTCAGCATATCTGTATATGGAAAGCTCCCCTTCTCCAACTCATCTGGATCCTATTATTACAGGACTGGGAGGCAAAGCCTCATAACGTAAGAATTTTGTGGTTGCATCGACCCAAGTCCCTTCCCCCCCCTTCTGACCTCCCCCCCACTTCCCAGGCCCCCCCCCCCGCATATCCCTGTCCATACTTTAACCCAATGTTTCTCAACCTCTGCAGCCTTGAAAACGGGTGGGCTTTAACTCCCAGAATTCCAAGGCTGGCTGGGGAATTCTGGGAGATGAAGTCCAGCCATTTTCAAGTTCCCAAGATTGAGAAACGCTGGGCTAGCTAGGTCAGGGGTAGGCCACCTTGGCTCTTTTATGACTCGTGGACTTCAACTCTCAGAATTCCTGAGCCAGCCTGGCTCAGCTTGGAAACCTCTCCCTTTCCCCTCAGCCTGGCTGGCTGGGGAATTCTGGGAGTTGAAGTCCACCAGTCATAAAAGAGTCAAGGTTGCCTAGCCCTGAGCTAGGTGATCCTTCTGCTCTTTCCAACTCTATCATTCATGGCTGGCTGGGGAATTCTGGGAGTTGAAGTCCACCCATCGTCAAGTCGCCGAGGGTGAGAAACACTTAGTTGAACCTAATTCTCTTGCTTCTTTTCCGCTCCTCTGTCGCCAAGGTAGCAAAGGGACGAGGTGCCCGTTGTTAGCTTCTTAGCCTGACTCATTTTTAAAAGCCCGAAAAGAAAACGGGTTTCTCCAGCTTCACTGAAACTTTGGGGTTTTTCTCCTTCCGATGCGGCCTTCCTCTGCAATCTGACAGCGGTTTAATTTGCACCATTCCTCAAGGCTTAGTCAAGGACCATATTGCAGGGCCCTTCAAGCATCCTTCGGATTCTGGAGAATTTCGTTGTCTGCTCCAAGGGGCGGAGGGAGGGTGACTTTGGCCGTCCGACGGGCAGGTGGAGCTTCTTAAGTTTATTCTTCAGTGGAGAAATTAGCTGGCGAGGAGGAGGAGGGGGAGGAGGAGGCAAGCTTTCAATCGGATCGAATCCCAACCTGCAGATCTGGGACTCCGCAATGGAGAATTTGAATCAGTTGGTCCAGAGCAGGGTCTTCAAACTTGGCCCTTTTATGACTTGTGGACTTCAACTCCCAGAATTCCTCAGCCAGGCACGAGGAATTCTGGGAGTTGAAGTCCACAAGCCATCAAAGGTCCAAGGTTGAAGACCCCTGGTCCAGAGCCTGCCTCTCTGTCTGCAGTTGATTCTTTCAGATGCACGCAACAGTCATCCAAAGGCTGTTAACTTGAGGACTATCTATAACCCATTTTATTAAAAGGCACCAGTTTTCATGAACTGGACTCTCCTCCTTTAATACGTGGGACGGTAGCGCCTCTGACTTGGGCCCTGGAAAGACAACTGGACCCTCATTCTGGGTGTCTAAAGAAAGGACCTCCAGCTGACCCCCCCAAAAAAGCCTTCATCTCATCCTTCCTCCAATAAAAATTGTGCACCCTTGTGAATGCGCAGCTCGCTGGAGGATGGTGTTTCTCCGTAGGGACGTCTGGAGTTGATCTTGCTTAGGCCTCTTTTTCTATCACTTCTCTAGGCCTGCTTTTATTTCTCATGTTCTCTTTGCTAACCCTCCGCTCGGCGCATTTTGCCCTTTCCAATCCCATGGGCAGAATGCAATTTTGTTTTTGTTTTTAAATCAAGAAGGAGAAAAGGGCAAGGACTAGAAACTTGGTTCTTTTATTCATTTTTTTTAAAGCAAAATGCACGTGGCTTTGAGACAGAAAAGGAAGGAAGGAAGAGGAAAGTAACAGAAAGAGAAAAAGAGAAAGAAAGAAAAGGAGAGAGAAAGAAAGGAAGAGAAAGAAAAAAAGAAAGAAAGAAAGAAAGAAAGAAAGAAAGAAAGAAAGAAAGAAAGAAAGAAAGAAAGAAAGAAGAGAAAGAGTTGCATTTTCCCATCAGGGCTGCTGACACAAACTTTGCAGGTAGCAGGTCTTTCTGTCTGTCTGTCTGTCTGCAGAGGAGCCCTGTGTGTCTTTGTGCGTGTGTGTCTTTGTGCTTGTGTGTTTGCTTTCCATCTCTCTCTTGTCCCCCCCCCCTTTCAAAATATATCACGCTGGTGTAAGGTTATCGTTCCCTTCCCTCCTGGCATCTGCCTTGTCCACGCTCCAGCCAGGCTCCTGTTTCACTCCTGACGCAAGTTGCCACAAGGGGAGGCCCAGCGGCCGGGATTGGGAATGGGGGGGTGTGGCGAAAAGGGGGGGGGCACCTAGGAAAGCTCCTTGGCTACCCACAGACACAAACAAAACCTTTTCCTAACACGAGGGGGGGGGAGGCTTTTATTTTTAAATCTCTCTGTTTTGCAGCCAGTTCTCGGCTGGCTTTTTCAGAGTGCCCCGGTTCCTGTCCCCCTGACCCCCCCCCCAGCCCAGTTCTTTCAGACCTGGAGCCCCAAAAGATGAGAGCCCCCCCCCCTCTTTCCAAGTCTGAGCTGCAAGGTCCTGGCTTCGAAAAGACATTGCACCCTGGTCTGAAACATAAGGTAGAAAAACCCCACGAAACATGAATATATATATATATATATGAATGCATATCAGCAAAGCAGAGGCTAAAAAAAAAAAAAAAAACCATAGGTGAAGGAAGGATAAAGATGGCCACCTCAAGCACTGAGGAGGGTTTATATAAGCCCTTGATGATAAATTATCATGAAATTCTCCATAATAAATTATCAGGCGTTTTCCGTCTCTTGCACCTGTTATGCAAACTCTCTGGGTTTTTGGCTTCTTTCCTTCCCTCCTTTTTCCCTCCCTTTCTCTTTCTTTCCTCTATCCTCCCTCCTTTTTTCCTCCTTTTCTCCCTCCTTCTCTCCCTTTTCTTTTCCCCTCCCTTTTTCCCTTTTCTTCCCTTCTTCCTCCCTCCCTCTCCCTTTTTCTTTTTCTTCCCTCTTTCCTCCCTCCCTTCTTTTTCCTCCTTTTCTCCCTCCCTCCTTCCCTCCCTCCCTTTTCTCTCCCCTTCCCACTTTCCTCCCTCCCTCCCTTCCTTCTCTCCCTTTTTCCTTTCCTTCTCCCTTTCCTCCCTTTTTTCTTTTCCTTTCCTTCCTTCCCTCTCTCCATCCCTTTTTCACCCTTGCCCAGCTCACCACCTACACCCCAAACCAAACGGGGGGGAGAGGAGGAGGGCTTGTTGAAAAGCAACCAGCCTTTGACCCAGAACGGGGGGGGCTCCAAGGGAGAAACTCTCCACCGTCTTTCCGGGCAGAGATATTGGGGAGGGGGGGCAATTGTCCCCTACATTCCCCCACTGGGGGGAGGAGGAGGAGGCGGGTTTTTTTTTTCCTGCAGCGTATAAGGGCGCGGAGGCGGCGGGGGGGGAGATTGGAGGGTCCCGGGGCATCCCTGGCTTCCAGCGCTGGGGGGGGGGCAGGTTTTGCAAAATGCAAGGGGGGGCTGCGAAGAGGAGGGGGTGAGAAAAGCAATGGGTGGGTGGGGGGCTGTTGCACGGCAAGCTCTTTTGCACCCCCCCCCCGAAAGGAGCAGAGAGATCCCGCTGGGTGCATCAGAGTTAGCCCCCCCAACCCCCCCAAAAGAGCAGGGCATTCCTAGAGCCCCGCCCCTTTTGGCTCCTTTCCAGCTTCCTGTTTGACGTCAAGCGCCGAATCTCTCCGGGCTGCCCGAACGGCTCTTTTTACAACTTCTATTGCGGAGTGTGTGTGTGTGTGTGGGTGGGTCTGTCTCTGCGTTGTGCTTCCCCCTCCCCGCCCCCAGACAAGGCAACCTCGGCTCTCTGTCTCTCTCTCGCCTGGAAAGGGGGTGGGTGGGTGAGTGGGGTAAATCCACACAGATCTCCCGTGCAACTTTTTAAATTATTTTTTTGTGTGTGTTTGAAATTTCTCTCTTTTTTTTTTGCCCTTGTCAGAAGGCGTGGGGGGAGGAGCTAAGACTTTTCTTTTGGGGAGGGGGCCGTCGGTTGGTTCGTTTTTTCCCCCCTCTCTGTCTCCCACCTTTCTGGATGAGGAAGATGAAGGCGGCTTCCCTGGCGGCGTTGCAGGACCCGGCACCCCCCCGCGCGTGGAGGCGACCCGCAGAAGGACGGACCTTAAGCGAGGACTGAGCGTGCAAGCGAAATGGACACTGGCCGGGATCTTAAGCGCCTGCACCGGTCCTTGGAGTAACTGTCACCGATTTCTTTTTCTTTTTTTTTTGCAACCAGCCCGGGTGCCTCCGAAGCGAGCACACAACACACACACACTCACACACTCACAGAGTCACCCCTGCAAGGCGTTGTGTGCGGTTTTGCTGGTTCCGTAACTTCTGGGAAATCAGCATGGACAAAAAACAAGGTAGCTGCTGTGTCTGTTGCAATTGCAAATATTAAGAATAAGAAGAATGGTGTGATTGCGCGGGGGGGGGCGCGCGGGAGAGCGCGAGGGAAACGGGTTGCAATTAAGGGTTGCTGCTTTTTTTCCCCCGTGCAAAGGTTAAACACGCCCGTTTCTGCAGCGGTGGCGCCGGGGAGGGGGGGGAAACGGCGGTGGAAGGTTCTCGGGGGTTTAAAATATGCACCGGGGCGGGGGGGGAGAGAGGAAGGGAGGTGTGTTAGGAGTGTGCAAAAAAAAAAAAAAAGTTTTGCACGGGTTTTCCGGGCAGGGAGTTTTGCACGGGGGGGGGAGGAGGCAGAAAGTGCAAAAGGGGCGTGCAAAGCTTTGGCACGGCCCCGGTTGGGTTGGGGTCGCCGCTTCTCGCTTGCAGCCTCTCCCCAAATCATTGCCCTTCGGAGCAATTGGAGGGGGGGTGACCGTGTCGGGGGGGGGGATATCTTGCAAAACTTTTGTGATATTTCCGGCCGGCTCTTGACAAGTCGCTTTTGCAGCTGTGTCGTGCAGGCGAGCTCGAAAGAGTCAGCCATGCCTTTAAATTTATTTTTTTTTTCCCTCTCTGTCTCTCTGCAAAAGGATTGCGGCTTCTCTTTTTCCTTTTTTTTTTTTTTTGCAACTTCTGCAAAAGGGAGGCCCAGCCTGCCTTCGGAAAAAAGGCGGCGGGATTGGGGGGGGGGTTCCAGTTGCTCCTCCCCAATAGTTGCTGTCCCCCCCCCACCTTCCCAAACGACTGGGGATTGGGTTTTCTGACGTTAGTGCCTGTGCATCCTTTTTAGCAACCATTGCTAATTCCTTCCTCTTCCCCAACCCCCCCAGAAAAGAAATTCTGGGCTGTGTTTCCTGCTTTCCAGTCGGCAAAAACTGGTGGCGCTCTGTATATGCTTAGAGGTAGCCTTTTTCCTTCTCTTCCAGAAACTGTATGTAAATGGCAGGATGTCTAGCAAAGGGTGTGTTGGTTGCAGATGAGGAAGCTTAAATATCCATGACCCCCTTTATTATAGGGGGGGGAGGATTTGAGGTCACAGGTGATGATCTCCTGCAGTTCCCTGGCCCTGCATTTTTCTGAGCATAATTGCAAATTGCAATCTTTGGGTGCATATCAGCCATGAGTGATCATCCTGGATGATAGCAATTTATTCGCAGTCTGATACGTGAGGGACGGTGTATGCATTTGCTAAACTAAATAGGTTTGTGTATTATGGTTGGACAGGAGACCACTAAGTGATATAGACTAGATTGTGGGGGAAGGGGGGATGAAGCCTTGACAGCAGGTGACTTGCAAGCCACTTTTGAGTGGCTGTCAAAAAAGTTAGGTGGGGATGGCCATGAAGTCACCAAACGTAAGCTTGACTGACAGGAGATTTTTACCCTTTATGTAAATTAAATTAAGCTCAGTTTTGGTCCTGCCCTTTCTGTGCCCAAATGCAGAAAAGTTTGCAAAGTTTAGATAGATAGATAGATAGACCCATAGATAGATAGATGATGAATAGACAGACAGACAGATAGATGATGGATGGACCCATAGATAGATAGATACATAAATAGATGTTTCTCAACCTTAGCAATTTGAAGATAAGTAGACTTCAACTCCCAGAATTCCCCAGCCAGCTGTGGATATAGGTTTTAAAAAAAAAAGTTAAGAATGCTGTTTGTGTCCTTGCCTGTTTCCTGCATTATCGCACCAGTGCAGAATCTCTGGTATCTGAGATGAAATTCCTAGGAACTCATTGTGTTGACATATTACGAGAAAGCGAGTTGCTGAAAGAATTGCTAGCATTGCAGAGGGCTGTACAATCTGAACTAGGAACAAAGATAGAGTTTCCAGAAGCTGGTGGGGGAGGACAGGGTTTTTTTCCCCACACACACATACACACAACTACACAGAACTACACTCTGCTGATAAATGGAGCTGGCCTCGCTTAGGTTTTGGATGTTCAAAACACTTTGCATAAGGGTCCTTCTTCACCCTGGCTGTCGCTGTTAGTCTTTGAGACTGCAAATCCTAAAGATTTGCTAGCTGAGCGATTTTTATACCCCTGTGAGGTAGGCCAACAAGTTCCTCCTGCAGACACAAAATGGGTCATCCTTGTTTAGCAACCGTTCAATGAAAAACAAAAATCAGTCGGCAAATAGTCTTCCCATTGAGATCTGCAAAACCAATAAAAAAGCGGAAAGATTAGAGAGTCACGGTTTCACTCAGTGACCTGTTAAAGACCAAGCTGGCTGTTGCTAAACGAGGACCGCCTGCAGATAAACTGGATTAAGATGATGCCTTATTATGCAAACCTCTGCACAATGATTTTGGGGAGAGAGGCAGGGTTATAGATCTGGAGCCTGTGCAGTTTGTAATTTTAACGCCAAGTGGCTGCAGTGAATCCAGACCAAAGCATTTGGATTTTATTTACTTTCAGACTTCCTCTGCCGCTGCCAGCCAAGGTTTTTTTTTCCCTTGGTTGGCATTAATGCTGTGCTGCTAAGCGGGTGAGGGCTAGAATTTGGCCTGGTGGTTGAAGTCCCAGGACATTTTTAGAAGGGAGGAGAATACCACCAGCTGGTTGAATTTTTTTTCCTGGCACTTTTTGGTGCAGGGCTAAAAAAAAAAAAAACCCCAAACACCAAGGCTATGGGAAATTGTGCTGTCATGGAACATTTTGACACACACACAAACCCCACTCCAAATGGGGAATTTTGAGTCCAGAATGGGCTGTTCTTAAATCTCCTTTTGGCCAGTTTGCAGAGAGATATTCCCCATTCTACGGGGGGGGGGGGGACATTTTGCAAAGCCCGGCGGACTTCTGTGTGCTTGGCAAATCAGAGTTTCATTCAACAGGGATCATATTTCCAGGTTTCCTTCCCTCCTTTTGAAAGATGGCATAAATAATCTGCGTTTTAGCTTGTGCTAGCAATGCTGGATAAAGGGAAAGCACCACGTAATTCTCAGTGGGGAATTTGGGAAGGGGCCGTCACCGGAGAAGGTCCTGTTGGGAAAATCGGTCCCGCTTCATTTCAGAGAAGGGTGGCATTTTAAGGTCCTGGTCTCTCAGTGTTGGCGGTTGAGTGCCAAGGTGTAACCGTGGTCCTTCACGGACAATCATTTGTTTAGCAACAAGTTAACAACCAGCGCTGAGAAAAGGGACTTAACGTCCAGTTCTCGCTCTTATAACGGCCACCGTACCTCGGCGTGCAAATTGTACAGTCTCCGCAGGTAACTCTCAACGACCGTAGTTGAGCCGAAATTTCTGTCGCTAAGCGAGGCAGTTGCTAAGCGAGCTTTCCTCCCCCGTCTTGTGACCTTTTTTGCCCCAGTTGTTAAGTGAATCACACAGTTGTTAAATGAATCACAATCGTTAAATAATAATAGTAATCATCATCGTCATCCCAGGTGCTGGGTAAGGACTCGATAGGTAGACAAAATGCCAAATCCAGTCTGAACATCTGGCTGACTGTGCGATGATCAATAATAATAATAAAAAGTTGGAAGGGACCTTGGAGGTCATCTAGTCCAACCCCCTTCTCTCTCTCTCTCTCTCTCTCTCTCTCTCTCTCTCTCTCTCTCTCTCTCACACACACACACACACACACACACACACACACACACACACACACAGTTTTCCCAAGGCCAAAATCGTCTGCCCATGGCCTACAAGGTTTTTTGTTTTTTGTTTTCCCTTCAGACAAACAGAAGTCACCCGTCTCGGGGATCCGTCCTGTCGCCAGAGGAGTGTGTGTGTGGTGGGGGGTTTGTGAATGTATTTTTACCATTCTTTTAGTGACTCAGAAGCCTGATGACATCACCAATTTCAGGCAGGCCCAGAAATTCTTTGGGAACAAAAGAGGTTTTTACAGTCATCTTCTGGAAACGATTCAAGGAAGTCTTGGAGGAGAATTCCAGATGAATGCTTTTTTAAATATATATATATATATATATAATAGGGGGAAAGGTCTTGGCATTTGGAAAGACTGTACGGAGCGGTGCGGAAAAAAAGAGATGTTTCATTGTGCAGTGCAGCATGTTTAATTTTGAGTTTTTTAAGGGTTGGAAGTTCAGCTTGCATCCATCTAAAGAGCAGTCCCTTTAGACTTAAACAGATTTTGGAGTGATTTTCCAGGATGGTTTTTGGGAGGGGGGTAAGCGGAGCCTTCAAGAGAGTGGGGGGGCTGGTAGAAACCTCAAAAAGGTCTTCAAAACTCTTTGAGGACAAGAGGAAGCTTAGTAAAAAGAAGTAAACTGTTTTTTTTAAATGTATTCAGTAGGTTTTTCAATCCTGCCTTTACTGTATTATTTATTTATCAATAACTCATGGTGGTGAACATACTTAATGCTACCACCTCCTATTTTCCCCAGAACAACCACCCTATGAGGTAGGTTGGGCTGAGAGAGAGTGACAAACCCAAAGTCACCCAGTTGTCTTTCATGCCTAAGGCAGGACTAGAACTCACCGTCTCCTGGTGATTGGCCCAAAGTCACCCAGTTGTCTTTCATGTCTAAGGCAGGACTAGAACTCACTGTCTCCTGGTGATTGGCCCAAAGTCATCCAGCCACCTTGCATGCTTAAGGCAGGACTAGAACTCACCATCTCCTGGTGATTGGCCCGGAATCGCCCAGCCAGCTTTCATGCATTTTCCTAAGAGACTCCTTCTATGCAGTCCACTAACATTGGGCAGCATTTGTTGCAAGTGTCAATTCCCTTTGGAAAAATGAGTCAATTTCATTTCTTGGCCAGAATAGAAAAGAGGAACCAGATTTGCTGCTGTTTGGGCAGCAATTTTTATATCACCTAAACGTGAAATATTGTACAATCTCCTTTCCTGGCTCCCTTCTGCAACTGTGCAAGCATCGGAAAAGCAGGACTGTGATCAGCAATGAAGATGCTTTTTTTTTTTTTTTTTTGCATAGAGATTGGCAGATCCCTGTAGCTCCCATTTTCAGTCGGTCAGTTCTGAAAAGGACAAGTGAGAATCGGAGTCTGCCTCCCTAAGCCGTTTGCTGGTTAATTGTGTTGCTCTATGGAGGGACAGCCTATTCAGAACAACAGAGATGGCAGGGACCTTGGAGGTCTTCTAGTCCAGCCCCTTGCTCAGGCAGGAGATGCTCTACCATTCCAGTCAAGTGGCTGTGCAGTCTCTTCTTAAAGACTTCCAGTGGTGGAGCAGCCACAACTTCTGGAGGGAGTTGTTCAACTGATTAATCGTTCTCATTGTCAGGAAATTCCTCCTTAGTTCCAGGTTGCTTCCCTCCTTGATGAGTTTCCATCCGTTGCTTCTTGTCCTGCCTTCAGGGGCTTTGGAGAATAGGTTGACCCCCTCCCTTTCTTCTTTGTGGCAACCCCTGAGATATTGGAAGACATCTGTCATGTCACCCCTCGTCCTTCATGAAATTCAGTGTTTGCAATTCAGCATAATGATCCATTCTTTTGGGGATTAGGGATTAGGGTGTGTAGGTGTGCGTCTCTCCAAAAAAACACACCTTGCTGTCGTGGTGGCAAGCTTTAAGAAGAGGTTTTCTTTAGAGGAATTTTCCTCTTAGGGAAATTAACGGAGAAGACTAGCAACGGCGAATTCTACTTGCTATAGGTTACCACCTCGACCAAAAGCAACAGTTGCTGGGCAACACAGCCAGGGCAATCACAGTGTGCGTGTGTCCTGCTTTGCAGCTTTCCAGAAACATCCATCTGTCCACTAGGAAGCAGATCCAAGCTCACTTGGCCTTCTAAAACAGGCCCAGTGAGTCTCAATACTGCATTGCACTGGCTAAGGATCCACTCTTCTTTTGAGTCATCCGAAAACAAATGGTAGCACAGCCGCATTTATAGGGCTTTTAACACACCCCTGTCCCACTTTCCTGGGGTGACTCATGTCTGACTTCCAGGCGAGTTAGCCGTCAATTCCTTCCTTCCTTCCTTCCTTCCTTCCTTCCTTCCTTCCTTCCTTCCTTCCTTCCTTCCTTCCTTCTCATTCACTCAGAATTTTTCCTTCCTTTCCTTCCTTCCTTCCTTCCTTCCTTCCTTCCTTCCTTCCTTCCTTCCTTCCTTCCTTCCTTCCTTCCTTGCTTCCTTCCTTGCTTCTTTCCTTCCTTCAATATGTCAATGCATAACCCAGAAATCTGTGCCACAATAAAGGGGATTTCAGTAGCATTAAAACAGGAGATTTTGCATTGCCTGGAAAATTAAATACCACAACTCAGAATCTTGGGAAAATCTCTCCCTCTTTATTTTTGTTTTGTTTTTGAATTTGCAAAAGATAAAACTGTTAGAATTGCCTTTGCACAGAATCAGTTTGCCAGTCTATACAGTAAGCAAAATAAACAAACAAACTATTGTTGCATATGGACGCTTAACCTTTGGCTTTGCTCTGGATGACATATAGATGCATTAACATCCATTCCACAGCCTTCCTGTTTTAAACACAACTATTGCTGCAGAATCATTTCTGAAGGTTTGGTATCCTGGCCTGTTTTTATTTTTGTGACGTGTGTTTTCTGTGTGTCGTTGATCTCCTGCCACTGGCATAGAAAGAGGAGAAAGAAATACAAAGCCACCGGATCAGCAAGCTTGGCAGAAATGCAGAATCCCTTGACAGGCAGTTCTGGAAGCCAATCAGATGGTGATCCAACTAGGATGCTGTTCATTTTGGAGGGGGGATTTTGAACCTGCTGGATTCCTCCCCACCTCTGTTTCCTCTAGGTCAGGGGTGTCCAACCTTGTTGACTTTAAAACTTGTGGACTTCCAACTCCCGGAACTCCCAAAGCTGGCTGGAGAATTCTGGGAGTTGAAGTCTGCAAGTCTTAAAAGTCAGCAAGGTTGGACACCCTGTTTTAGGTCGTTGTTAGCTTGCCGATGCATTTTGTGAACCGGAAGCGGCCCAGATGTGCAGATTGCACAGAGGTCTCGCATTTTCTGCAGCCTCTGCATGCATGTGCATGGACGGCTGTCGCCGGGGAGTTGCAGGCTGAGTGCAGCAACCCGATACTCAGTCCTGTTGCCTGACAAGCCTCCAAGAAAGGTGGAATTTCCTGCAAAGCTTGTTGGGTCAGGATCCCAGTCGCCCAAACACTCCCGGCTTCAGGTGTTCACAGGGCTGGCAGCCCGAGTGGGTGGAGACGGGAATCCGAGCTGAGGATACAGATCCTCCTTTTCCATCTTCGGGGTGTCGTAGGTGCCCCGCCAAGGAAAACTTAGAGGGAGCATTTTTAATTGAAGTTGGGATTCTTCTTGCCCATCTTGTGGCCATGAGGCTGCCAGAGTCAAGGGGTGGGAGAGGGCAGGACCTCTGGCCAAGCCAGACCTGCCTGGTTATTGGTGCTAGTCCTCATGGTGTGCAGAAGAGTACATGGCTCTCCCCCGGTGTGTGGGCCGAGTAAGGGTCAGTTGGAAGGGAGAAGATATCTATATATCTATACCTATATATCCATATCTCTATATCTTGTGTATCTACTTCCATATATCGATCTCTCTCTCTCTCTCTCTCTCTCTCTCTCTCTATCTATCTATCTATCTATCTATACACACACACACAAACACACACACACTTATATACACATAAACATTTTGAATATTGGAATCCCAGGTATGGACATTTAAAGTCAATCAGATAAAAATAAAGAGCTCTGGGATGTAAGATAAAAGGCTTTTTTTATTAATTGCTGAGCTTTCGTTAACAACCTGTTAACAACATCAGAGCAAAGGGCTAAATGATAAACATAGATGCATATGCAAATTATATATCCCTGTCCTGTAGCTATGGAAAGATTTACCGGACCGCAAACTAGAATGACAAGCCTGGTTGTTAGTCACACGGGGTGACTAAAGAGGTACTCACCGTCTGCTGCGCCCTCCTTTTTCCTAAATCCTGTCTAAAATCCACCGTGAACTCTCCTTCTCGCTGTTAAGTTCAGGGAGGGAAGCAACGGGGTTATTACGCAAGCAACGCACCTCTCTTGATTTGTCTTCCTTTTTTTTCCTTTTTTCTTTTTCTTTTTAACAAAGTGCCGTTTCATAAAATCAAGCCGTTGCTTCCGAGTTTAATAGTGTTGTCTTCAGATCCAGCCTCAATGCAGTGTTCGTTCTTAGATGCGTACAATGAGGCCAGACTTTAGGTTGAGTTTTGCATTTTGCAGTCCGTTTCTCTACCCGAGTGACTTTATTCTGCCTTTTGGGGAACGGGTGGAAAGATTTCGGCTCTTGAGTTTTGAGCAACCGTTTCTGAAGGGGGCAAAGCCGCCTGCCAAAATGTCTTGCTTCCATTAAGGCCGGGGTCTCCCAAGGCTGGGCTAGCTGAAGGATTTCCTCCATGGCTTATCATCAGCCCAGCTATTCAGGCTTTTTAAACAACAGCTCTTTTCTAACCTCTCCTCTCTTGTCTTACAGATCCCAAAGGATCCTTGGAAAAGCGCAAAGTCGGTAAGTGAGGAATACATTTAAAAAAAAAAAAAAAATTCCTCCAGTGCTGAAAATCATTTGTTTGACATGCCTACAATAGCTGAGGCTTAGAACCAAAATTCTTCATTCTTTGGAAATGGAAATAGAAAATAACAGAATTAGAAGGGACCTTGGAGATCTTCTAGTCCAACCCCCTGCTCAGGCAGGAACCCTATACCATTTCAGACAAATGGCTGTCTGATCTCTTCTTTAAAATCTCCAGTGTTGGAGCATTCACCGCTTCTGGAGGCAGGTTGTTCCACTGGTCAATTGTTCTAACTGTCAGGAAATTTCTCCTTAGTTCCTGGTTGCTTCTCTCCTTAGTTAGTTTCCACCTATTTGTTTCCTGTCCTGCCTTCAGGTGCTTTGAAGAATAGCTTGACTCCCTCTTCTTTGGGGCAGCCCCTGAGATATTGGAAGACTGCTATCCTGTCACCCCCTCATCCTTCTCTTTGTTAAACTAGACAGACCCAATTCCAGCAACCGTTCTTCATACGTTACAGGAATTGAGTATGTCACATCTGAATGTGCAATAGGGAGAACGGAATAGATGAATCCTTTCTCCTGTTTTTATCCTCTCAACAGCCTGGCGAAGTAGGCTGGGTGTGAGACACAATGACAACTGGGGTAGAAAGCATTTTGAATTAGACAGGATCCTCATAGCCTACCCGTCCTTTTGCATCAATTCTCCTAGTCCTGATTCACTCCTGCCATTGGTTTCGTTTAGCACAGTGGTTCTCAACCTTTTTTAATGCCATGACCCTCAACCGGTCATAAGTCGAGGACTACTCAACCGGTCGTAAATCGAGGACTACTCAACTGGTGCAGCACCGTTTGCAGAATGGGACTTTTGGCGGGCTCAGCAGGGCAGAGACAGCCTGGACCATCCCTATTGGCTTTTGAAAGCCAATAGAATTAGACTCTATTCAAGAGAGTCTATTCTATTGGCTTTCAAAAGCCAAGAGAATAAAAGGGAGTAGCACAGCTAAGGAAAAGGGGGAAAAAATGGCGGACTGCATTGTTTGGCGACCCCCGTGAAATGGTTGTTCGACCCCAAATGGGGTCCCGACCCACAGGTTGAGAACCACTGGTTTAGCGCATGATGTAAAAACGCAGCCCCTTTCGTGATGTTGTTGGGTCTTTTTTTTAAAACTATAACTATGAATAAACTATAGTTTGGCCCTGTACATGAAGAGAAGCCTCGTCTTCTCGAGCAGATTGTTGTTGTTTTTTTAAATGTCCTTTTTCTTCTAGGAACAAAGAAGAAAAGACCACCCATTTTAAGAATGCCCTCGGTTAATAAACAGTCACCTGTCCCTGCAACGTAAGATCTGTTTCTCCTCTTTTTACGGACAAAACTCAAGTAACAAAATGTTTGGCTCCCTTGGGGTCGTAAGTGAAGGACTATCAGTAAAAGTTAAACGTTGTTTGGCTGAACCCCGTTTTCGATGAAAACGCCTGCCTTAAGAGGCTGAAAGACTGGGAGGCCACGTTGATACTTTCCGAATGAGATCCAATCAGAAGGAATGTTAAGCAAAGTTGGTTTTCTCCACAACTCCGTTTAGTGAACCGCAGGTGGAACGAAGAAGCAGATGTTCTTCCAGGCGTTATCCCACCCCACAGTCCGTTGTTTCTGAATCAGTCTGGACAATCAGCCTAACTTATGTCAGCGGCATCCAGTTACCTAACAAGATAATTGATGTTTTCATATAATTGGCCTGCATTTATGTCACTCGTGTGGTTAGGTGACGTTGGTTAAGTGTTAGACCAAATGATGTAAGCCGGTGCATCTGAGGTCAACATTTCCATGACATAACCTCCTCACCAAAGGACATCAGTTAAGGTCCTTTGGATTTAATGGACTCCCTGCTGTCTGTTAAATGGAACTTTTGTTGTAATGCCAGAACATGAGAAAGGATGAATTGTGTCTTCTTCAGCTTGGGCTGTCTGATTGATCAGCTAAAGCCGCAACTCAATTGATTATATTTTTTAAATCTTGTTTTCTTTTTCCAATGCTAGAGTGTAGGAAGTGGGCACCGGGTTTCGGGCATTGGGTCTTCTCCAGAACCAGAACTGGATTGAATTATTTTCATTTTGTTTCTTCCACAGACCACCAAGGAACTTGGACTCCAGGACTTTTATCACCATTGGAGAAAAGGTAGACCTTGTCCTCTGTCCAAGCTTTTGATTTTTTCTTCTGCAGAATTCTTTGATTCAGTGTTTATCTTGTGCCTTTTCATGAAATTAAAACGGGAGAGGCTTAGAACTGCAAGGATAGTGCCACCTCCATACCAGTGTTTCTTTGTGTAGGCAAAGCTTGTGTGCAGGTACCCAGTTGGGACACAATCCAAGGTGTGGTGGTTTCACCCTCTTCTTGTTGAGCTTCTCCTTGTGGTCCTATAAGGTTGCCTGGGTGCATACATGACCCCCGAGCAACTGTGTGGTTTGCTTAGTTTTTACTTAGCAAGCGACGTTCTTCTCGCATTGGTAGACCACTGTTGTTCAAATTTGGCAACTTTAAGACCCCTGGACTTCAACTCCCAACATGCTGATTGGGGTATTCTGGGAGTTAAAAGTCCAATCTTGAAATTGCCAAGTTTGAAAAAGACTGCTGTAGATCATGAGTGCCAGCTGTAGAGGTTGTATCAGTCTTGCACCACAAGCTGTAATTACCACAAGCCATGGCTTGGTGGGCGAGAATCCATCTCATCCCAAGAAGCTGGCCTGATAACATCTCCAGAACTTCTGGAAGAATGTTCTTCTAAGCTCTTCCAGTATCTTAAGCACTTGGGGAAACCCAGGTCTCCTCTTTCATACCTCTTGTTTTCTGTTGAACCTGACCTTAGTGCTCTTCTGAGTTCCTCCTCCTACTCTTTGTGGGCCTGACCTGACCTAAAGGATGGGTCACTTGAGGTCACCGTCTCTCTTCCTCCCAACAGCCTTTTCTATTCCTTTCAAAGCTTTTCATTGGCTGTGGGCTGACCCAGCTCGGACTTTTGGGAGTTTGTGTGACCCTCACACTTAGCAGCTAGAAATAGCTGCTGGTTTCTGGTTTATGGCTGTGCCATAAACTGTCAGACAAAGAATAACGATCTTTGTTTTAGACACAGAGATCTGCTTCCTTCTTTGAAGTGGGAAGGCCAAAGCCATCAGAGATAATCTCATTAAATGTCTGAAGTTGTCTGGGGTGTTAATCCCCGGGTAGTAACTGTGAGAGGGACCTCGGAGTCCTAGTAGACAATCACCTAAATATGAGCCAGCAGTGTGCTGCAGCTGCCAAAAAGGCCAGGTTTAGCAAGTTTCTCACTTAGCAACGTCAAATTTTGGGCTCCAATTGTTTTCTTAAATCGAGAACTACCTGCATTCCCAGGAAGAAAGATAACTGCTAAAGAGTTGGGTGTTGCTTTACTTTTGAGTTTCTCAAACCTTGGCGAGTTTCCTCTGCGTGGACTTCAGCTCCCAGAATTCCACGTGCAAGTCAGAACACGGTTATTTTTCCTTTTTAAGGATGTTTTTATGTGGTTTCCAGATTGTCGATGGCAACAAGTTGACTTGAACGGATGGAATGTTGGTGCCTTGAAGTGTGTTTGTGTTGGTTTGTTGAGCGTTCACGCAGAGGGTACGAGACCTGTCTCTATGTTCTTAATCTGTTGGCCGTTTTCTTTACTCTGTTTTTTGCATCACGTCCGAACTGCAGAACTTTGAAGTTGAGGCCGATGACTTGGTGAGCATCTCCGAACTAGGCCGAGGTGCTTACGGGGTGGTGGAGAAAGTGCACCATGCAAAGAGTGACACGATCATGGCTGTAAAGGTGAGAATCTTAACAAAAGGGCTGCAGATATTTGGACCTAGGTTGCATGGTCAGTCATCAAGGGAGATCAGACTAGGACAGGCGCTGGTCTAGAAATTGGCAGATGGTGAGTTCTAGTTCTGCCTGAGTCAGGAAAACTGGCTGGGTGACTTTGGGCCAATCACCAGGAGACGGTGAGTTCTAGTCCTGCTTTAGCCATGAAAGCTGGCTTCAAGCCAGTCACCCTCTCTCAGCCTCATAGAGTTGTTGCCGTGGGGAAACGAGGAGGCAGCAGTATTAGGTAGTTCACCATTGATTACTAATAAATAAATATTAGCATTGCTCCATCTTGAAGAGTGGACAGCCAAGTCCCAGAATTCCCCACTTAGCAGAGCCCTCAGTGGGAATTCTGGACATTGTGGTTCATTGTCTTTGAGGTTAGGAAGGTGGTCTGTCCTCCCTCCCTCCCTCCCATTTATCCATCATAATTAGTTTCCTTCCTTCCTTCCTTCCTTCCTTCCTTCCTTCCTTCCTTCCTTCCTTCCTTCCTTCCTTCCTTCCTTCCTTCCTTCCTTCTCATTCACTCAGAATTCTTCCTTTTCCTTCCTTCCTTCCTTCCTTCCTTCCTTCCTTCCTTCCTTCCTTCCTTCCTTCCTTTTCACTCAGAATTCTTCCTTTTCCTTCCTTTTCCTTCCTTCCTTCCTTCCTTCCTTCCTTCCTTCCTTCCTTCCTTCCTTCCTTTTCACTCAGAATTCTTCCTTTTCCTTCCTTCCTTCCTTCCTTCCTTCCTTCCTTCCTTCCTTCCTTCCTTCCTTCCTTCCTTCCTTCCTTCTCATTCACTCAGAATTCTTCCTTCCTCCCTCCCTCCCTCCCTCCCTCCCTCCCTCCCCACCCACTGATCGGTATCCTTTTGCTCCCAACCCAGAGAATCCGAGCCACTGTGAATACTCAGGAGCAAAAGAGGCTGGTGATGGACCTGGATGTCTCCATGAGGACCGTCGACTGCTTCTACACCGTCACGTTTTACGGAGCTCTTTTCAGAGAGGTAGACAAGAAATCCAGAAGCCTTCCAAACTCACTGGGAAAAGCCAGCCTGGGTTCAGTTCGTCCTTGAGCTGAACTGAGCAGGGATGATGGGACCTAAGAATTTTTGGAAGGACTGAAAATTTCTTCTCTGGTCCTCAGGGTGACGTGTGGATCTGCATGGAACTGATGGACACGTCGCTGGATAAATTTTACAAGAAGGTTCTGGAGAAGAAGAAGACCATTCCTGAAGACATCCTAGGAAAAATAGCCGTGGCTGTGAGTGTTACCTTTATGCCCATGTTTACCAAAGCAGGACAAAAGAAGCAACGGATGGAAGCTCACCAAGGAGAGAAGAAACTTAAAACTAAGGAGAAAATTCCTAACAGTGAGAACCATTAATCAGGGGAACAAATTGCCTTCAGAAATTGTAAGGAACAAATAAACCAAATAATGCAGCCATTTGTAGTTGTCTGCTAGTGAGTCAAGGAGCCAGTTTGGATCTGCTGCGATGCTCGTGTAAAAGAGAGTTTGAGGGTTTTGTTAGGGGTGTTTGAGACCGGAAAAATGGAATTAAATGGCTTGAGTTGCTGTGCCCCGTATAGCAGCTAGAAAGTGTGAAGAGTGTCCCACAACTTAATGGGTGTATCTGTTGTTTCTCTCCCTTTTGTCCAGATTGTCCGAGCCCTGGAGCATCTCCACAGTAAATTGTCAGTGATTCACAGAGGTAAGGCTCAAATTGCAGATCCCATCAGATGGACAGAGAAAGCAGCTGAGGGTTAATAACACAGGTGAGGCCCAGTTCAATTACAGGCCGTCCTCATTTAGGGACCGGAAGTGGGACGGGCAACTCCGCCACTAAGTGAAACAGTTTCCTAAGTGGGGGAATCACATCACGGCGACCGTGTTTTCCTACCAGATGAGTACAGATTGTCCTCAACTTACAGCAGTTTGTGATCCCAAGGCCATTTTGTCTTCCCTGCTTGCAGATGTGAAGCCGTCCAACGTCTTGATCAACAAACAGGGACATGTGAAAATGTGTGATTTTGGAATCAGCGGGTACTTGGTGGATTCCGTGGCGAAAACATTGGATGCCGGCTGCAAACCTTACATGGCTGTGAGTGGGGGGGGCTCCATTGTGGGGACACAGCATGTGAGTTTGGGGGAGAACCTCCAGTCCGTTTCCCTTTTCCCTTCTTTCTTCCTAATTTGCTTTTATTTTATTTTCCCCGTGCAGCCAGAAAGAATTAATCCGGAGCTAAACCAGAAGGGATATAATGTCAAATCAGACGTTTGGAGTCTTGGGATCACTTTGGTAAGGAATCGAGGCGACCTTGGGGACTGGCAAGGCAGAAAGCATAAGGACTAGTCGCATGCTGGGCTTTGGAGTTAGTAAGGCTTAGAGATCCGGCAGTGTCTGGAGACTCTCCTCGGATTGGGTCTCCCTTGTGGACTCCCCCCCCCCCCATCGTCTCTCCTGCAGTCGTAGGGAGCCAGATTGTGGATAAATCCAGTATTTCTAGGGACCCTGGTGCTTTCCGAGCTTGGTGGCTTTCTTGCAGACGTTTCGTGGCCCAACTAGGTAACATCATCAATGCTAGAAGGGAGTGGGGTTCACTCTCTAAGCAAGCTTCTAGCACTGATGATCCCTAGTTGGGTCATGAAACGTCTGCAAGAAAACAACCCAACTCAGAGAAGCACTAAGGACCCCACAGTCATCGTTCTCCCTCTCCTCCTCCTCCTCCTCCCCCCCTTCTCCTCCCCTCTGTAAACCCCACTCCCTTCTAGCACTGATGATGTTATCTAGTTGGGTCATGAAATGTTTGTAAGGAAGCCACCAAGCTCAGAGAATTACCAGGGCTCCAGAGTTCAGCCCTGAGCTACAAATATTCTCTTCCTATTGGAATCCAATCTGTGTCTCCCTCCAGATCGAGATGGCCATTCTCCGTTTCCCCTACGACTCCTGGGGGACCCCCTTCCAGCAGCTTAAGCAGGTGGTGGAAGAGCCATCCCCCCAGCTCCCAGCCGATCGCTTCTCCAAAGACTTTGTCGACTTCACCGCCCAATGGTAAGTCCCTCTGCACTGTCTCACCTTCTCCTGGTGAGTGGCCCAAAGTCACTCCGCTGCTTTCATAGGTGACGCGGGACTAGAACTCACCGTCTCCCTGGGGATTGGCTCAAAGCCATCCAGAGAGCTTTCAGGCCTTAAAGCAGGACTAGAACTCACCGTCTCCCGGTGTTTGGCCCAAAGTCACCCAGGTGACTTTTATGCAGTGAGTATTTCTGTTGTTCCAATGACAAATCTTTTCAGCTTGGATTAGTGATGTTCTGGGTGTCTTTTTTTCCCTAGTCTGACGAAGAATCCTGCTGAACGAATGAGCTATTTAGAGATGATGGTGAGTTGACTTTTTTATGGCCCAGTTTTAATCTGTTTTATTTAGATTCCAGCAGGTGAGTGCACAGCAACCTTCGTGCCTCCTTCTTCTTCTTTTCCTTCTCCTTCACTACCACCTCCTCCTCCTTCACCTCCTTCCTCTCCTCCTCCTCCACTACCACCACCACCACCTTCTCCTCCTTCCTCTCTTTCTGCTTTTGTCTCCTTCACCTTCACTACCTTCTCCTCCTTTTTCCTCTATTACTACTACTACTCCTTCCTCTCCTGCTTTCGTCTCCTTCACCTTCTCTTCTTCCGTCTCCTCCTCCTCCTCCTCACCGCCACCACCATCCCTTATTGTCCTCTTTCTCTGACAGGATCACCCCTTCTTCACTCTCCATGACACCAATGACCCCACAGTGACCGAGATGGCTTCCTTCGTCACGGAAATCCTCGGGGAAGACTCTTAAATTCCCCCCCCCTCCCTGACCTCGCCGTCGTGCCAAATAAACTGGAGTAGCATCGTCCTCGTTTCTCCCAGTGGGAAGAACCGAGGCAGTTTGAAAACTTCTTAGCATTACCGGCGGTTTGCACAAAAAAACAAGATTGTGAACGTCTTTTGTTTGCAACCTCCATCAGCCCAATTTAACCTCACGCGATAACTTCGTGCCTTCGAGAGTGGCGGGTGGTGTGTGGCCGCACCCTGCGTGAAGAAATCTAGCTTCGGAGGACCCGAGGTTGGTCCTTGAAATCCTTTACTCCCATTTCAGCTGCCGAGGTGAATTTTTGTGCGTTCCCCCGCAGTAAACCTTTCCTGCCCCCCTTTGCCCCCCCCCAAATGCAACTGTGGACATTCAGACGTTTTCTAGACTTGATGCAAAACCGCGACACCCTCCATCCCTTTAAAGAGCTGACTGCGGATGCCGCTGTTAAGAAGGAGCTTGTGTTGGCTTTTTACGCTTTGCAGTTTCAAAAATCTCTTTCTATAGAAAATCAAGAAGGTTTTAGTAGTTTCTTGAAGTAGGTGTTCTACCTTCTGCAATTCTCTCTCTCTCTCCCTTCTTTAATCCGGCGGCAGTATTCCTCGACCTCAGCAATTTTCAGATGCCCAGAATTCTTCAAAAGCGGGAGAATTAATGGGAGATGAAGTTCACAGTCGTAAAGTTGCTCAGGTTGAAAAGCTGCTAGAGGAACAATTTCCCTTCCCCCCCCATCCCCAAAAAAACTCCTCCTGGAAAGATTTTACAGCCCAATTTTGTGACCTCTGCTGCTGGATTGTAAAGCGTCCCACCTACCCTCATTTTGTCGTCATCTTCCAATATTTCCTTCAAAGAATTCATATACGAAGATGATACAGGCTAGTTTTGGCATCAGCAACCCGAAGATCACACGTCTTCTCAAACTTCTTTGTGCTTTTCAACGTACAGATGTTTTGATGTACGTTTCACCATGAAATGAGATGTGCTGAGCCTCCTCCCCCCCACCCACCCCAAAAGGTCCAGCTGTTGTGAGGATCTTGTCTCTGGAGACATCACTGGAGATTGAGAATGTTAATAAAAAAATTAAATAGCCTCCCCCCTGCATTTCAAGAGACGGATTGAGGTGGATCACTTTAATTGCACTGAAACTGGGAAGCATTTTTGATCCGGTGGGCTGATTCCCCCTTTCTCTCAACTCTTTGTCATCCCTTCCTGGACTGTTGGAACTAGGAAGTCCACCTAGAGGTTAGGAGGATCTACCTTCCCTTGAGATGTTCAGTCTTCCCCATCACCACCGGAAGCTCACTTACCTTGCAACATTGTCCACTCCCCTCCACAAAATGTATCTCCACCTACCCAGATTTTTGCACACCCTTGTTGTTTAGTGCCAAGCAATGTAGCTTAGCCTACTGTGTAAACCCAACAGTGGATGGATTGCCGTGATTACCTTCACCAAGTCCAAGCACTCACCATCGCGTTGAAGCCAATGAGATTCCCACCAAGATATCCATCATGGTTTAGGAGCTACAAGACCTGGGTTCACACACGTGCACCACATCTTGGCTTGTTCATTGAATTAGCCATGCTAAAACCACGGTGGTAAGGTGTTGGCTTTCTCTGCCTGACACAGAACATCGGGATTGAAGTGGAAAGTGTTGGCCTATGAAGGATGTGCTTCCTGCAGTGAGCCCATTTCTGATTGATCATCTATATCTTACTTCCGCAGAGGGAAAAAAACCCTTAGGAACATGGGTGTGAATAGGGGAACAAATGAAATATTTTTCCACCCTTCCCCTCCAAAGAACTTAATGTGGAGAGCTCTTACCTTTTGAAGAAAAAAGCAAATATTGCCAGTGGCTTAATTCACGCTTTTTGTTTTTCAGTAAATTCTCTCCCTCACTCCTATCCCCCCAAAAGTAAATTATCTTTAAGTGTGTGCATATGTTTGCGTAAATGAATAGATGCAGAATAAGCATGGAGGAAGCTCCAGCACCTGAAAGCTCTAAAGGAATGTTAAAACAGAGAAAAGTAAGAAAAAGGGAAAATGCATTTTAAGGACACTGGAAATGGCTCTATCCCAGGAGTTCACGAGTCAGATGCTAAAGAACAACTCTACCTATTTATTTTATCCATCTGGTCTGAAGAAATATCCTTAGCCACCTCAAGCTTAAGATTTGGTCTTCACCCACAGCCTTTTCCATGGGTTGAATGAGTTGCTAGTCCCTATTGATCCATTAAAATATCTCAGCCGTGGTGATGTAACAGATGGGACTTTGATCCTTCCTCCTTCAAGATGCTTGAACAAGTTCCCCATTCTCATCAGCTTTGAAAGAGCCTGGTGATCACTTGCCCAAGTACTAACCAGATCCTAGCAATATATTTTCCAGAATCAGCTGTGGGTCACCATTGCCTGCCTGTAAGGGGGTTGTTAAATCGCTCCCTAGAAATTTTTTGGGACCTGAGGTTTCTTCTAAAGATGCTTTTCTTGTGCTAATAGGTCTAAGCTGCTGGTCAAACCTCTGTTCATAATTTGTCTTGAAAGCCCGTTCAAAACAGGGCTGAAGGCCACCAGTGTCCTTAATATTTCGAGATGGATGACAAATAAATAAATTTACTTCCTAGATGTTCAGCCTTCCCTTCTGAGAGTTGCTACTGCCTTAAGTTACCTATAAATAAAAGCAACTTTTAAAAAATAATAATAAATTGCAGAACATAAATGATTTGGGGAGACTATTCCGTCCATTCTCTTTGTGAGTTAACATGTTCCGCTTTGGGGGTTGACTTGATCCTGTGTGATTTGGGGAGGGGGGTTCCCAGTCTTGGTCAGAGACCTGAAGTGACCCTCAAAGCTACAAGAAATGGACCATCTTATGTATTACCATCGCTTGAACCAATGAATGTTGCATGCAACTTCTGAAATTGAGATACCCCCATTATAGTTTTCCAGCCTGTTCTCGTTCTGGTTTGTAATGTCTGCTTTTTTTTTTTTTTAAACCTCTGAGCTTTTTGGAGGCAAATTTAGTGAACGTTTCCTGTGTTTTTCTTTTGAGTCTAACGCAACGTTTCTCAACCTGGACGACTTGGAAGGTGTGTGGAGTATACTACAACTCCCAGAATTCCCCAGCCGACATGGCTGACGGAATTCTGGGAGTTGAAGTCCCCGCGTGTTCCAAGTTGCCAAGCTGGAGCCACGCCGATCTAATTAGACAGGCTTTAGGTGGCTTTTGCTGTGCTGCTGAGCCTCTGTAATATTTTTATTTCTTACTGGTTTTAGATTAGCAAGAGGGTGTTTGGCTAGCGTTCCCAGAGCCTCTTTCTATGCTTCAGGGTTTGTTTCTTCAAATGCATGCCTTTGGATTTTACAGAGTTCTCTTCCACCTTCTTCTCTTCCCCAACTTGCAAAAAAAAAAAAAAAAGTTGTTTATTTGGAACCCGGCAAATGAAATGACCACAGGAGCCCTTGTGGAGCACGAGCTGGGTCTCCAACGGGGCAGATGTGAAACTGATCTTGGTTTAAAGAAAGCTTGATGGTACATGAGCCCCTAACTCGCCTTCCATTTTGTTTTTGTTTTTTTTCTTTTTCCTTTCATCACTCTCCTTCCCCCCTCCCTTCCCAAGTTTCCAGCAGAAATGGAAGACTATTTATATTTAGACAAGAACTCTGGGTGCTTTGATGATTTGAAAGGTTCTCTCTAATAAACTAACTTGGTTGTTGGTTTTCAATAAAAGAAGCTCCCAATCTAGTTTCTGCTTGGTGGCTTTCTTGAAAAAGGGCGAAGCATTCGTTCTTTTCATTCATTCATTCACTCACTCCATTGAAATTTTCAACAAAGGGAGGGGTTGGATTTGAATCTGAGCTAATTGACATCCCCCAGGAGAGATAGTTCTTGACTTAAAACGATTTGTTTAGTGACTGTTCGAAGTTACAACAAAAAGCGGCTTGCAACCATATTCTTACTTAGCAACCATTGCACGTTGTATGGTCAAAATTCAGGCACTTGGCAACCAGTGTGTATGTGTCACAATTGCAGCATTCCACGGTCATGGGATTGCCATCTGAGGCCTTCCCAGCCGGCTTTGGACAAGTAAAGTCAATGGGGTAACATGGATTCACATAATGACTGCCGGAAAACAATATCTCCTGCTAAATACATGGAAAAATCCACTTAGGGTTAGGGTTAGGTCTCCATGAATTTGGAGGGCAAAATGGACCTCGCCAACGGATTCAGAACCCATGGGTATGGTTAGGGTGAAAATTTTCGAAGCCTGCCTTAACTACGTTCCCTGGCAAAATACATGGGAAAATCCCATTGGGGGGAAAATCCACTTAGGGTTAGGGTTAGGTCTCCATGGATTTGGAGGGCAAAATGGACCTCGCCAAAGGATTCGGAGCCCATGGGTATGGTTAGGAGGGTGCAAATTTTCCTAGCCTGCCTTAACTCCTTTCCCTGGCAAAATACATGGGAAAATCCCATTGGGGGGAAAATCCACTTAGGGTTAGGGTTAGGTCTCCATGGGAGGGCAAAATGACCTCGCCAACGGATTCGGAGCCCATGGGTATGGTTAGGAGGGTGCAAATTTTCCTAGCCTGCCTTAACTCCTTTCCCTGGCAAAATACATGGGAAAATCCCATTGGGGAAAATCCACTTAGGGTTAGGGTTAGGTCTCCATGGATTTGGAGGGCAAAATGGACCTCGCCAACGGATTCGGAGCCCATGGGTATGGTTAGGAGGGTGCAAATTTTCCTAGCCTGCCTTAACTCCTTTCCCTGGCAAAATACATGGGAAAATCCCATTGGGGGGAAAATCCACTTAGGGTTAGGGTTAGGTCTCCATGGATTCGGAGGGCAAAATGGACCTCGCCAATGGATTCGGAGCCCATGGGTATGGTTAGGAGGGTGCAAATTTTCCTAGCCTGCCTTAACTCCTTTCCCTGGCAAAATACATGGGAGAATCCCATTGGGGGGAAAATCCACTTAGGGTTAGGGTTAGGTCTCCATGAATTCGGAGGGCAAAATGGACCTCGCCAATGGATTCGGAGCCCATGGGTATGGTTAGGAGGGTGCAAATTTTCCTAGCCTGCCTTAACTCCTTTCCCTGGCAAAATACATGGGAAAATCCCATTGGGGGGAAAATCCACTTAGGGTTAGGGTTAGGTCTCCATGAATTCGGAGGGCAAAATGGACCTCGCCAATGGATTCGGAGCCCATGGGTATGGTTAGGAGGGTGCAAATTTTCCTAGCCTGCCTTAACTCCTTTCCCTGGCAAAATACATGGGAAAATCCCATTGGGGGGAAAATCCACTTAGGGTTAGGGTTAGGTCTCCATGAATTCGGAGGGCAAAATAGACCTCGCCAACAGATTCGGAGCCCATGGGTATGGTTAGGAGGGTGCTGACTTTTCAAGCCTGCTCTATCTACATGACACCAACTTGATAGCCTTTAACCAAGTAAGCAATGACCTGGTCTAAGAATAGAGAAGGTTGGTACATATCTTTGGGCTATAAGATCCTGTTTCTACATTTCACCTGAAAAAGTAGACTTTCTCATGCCCAGATTTTCTTTGTAAGATACTGAGCTGTTCATCTAAACCAGGAGTGTCCAACCTCGGCAACTTTTAGGCTTGTGGACTTTTTAACTCCCAGAATTCACCATCTTTCCACTGATTGACCCCACGGTGGTGCTGTCGAGTTGTCTTGCATTCTGCCAGGGTCAAGGATACTTCCAAATATTTAATCCAATTGCCTGTCTCTCATTTTTCAAAGCCAGTATCTCATTTCTGTCTTCACAGCAGTTAGAGAGGTAGATGAGACTGAAGGAGTGAGAGAGGAAAGGAGGGAGGGAGGGAGGAAAAGAGGGAGAGAGAGGCTGACTCAAGGTAATTTGGGTTTTAGAGGCAGAAGAATTTGGTGATTGTACAAGCAAAGTGCATGTGTGTGTACAGGTTTCATTATTATTTTTTCATTCCAGTGCAGTTAAACAGAATTTCCCATCTTGTCTTACCTTTAAATCTACTCAGGTCTCCACTGATGAGATACCTTCAAACTTGGAAGAATTGCTAAGAACATACAACTGTGTGCAATTTGCTTTTTCTTGCTCTGGATTATTAATTGTTTTCTCTCTCTCTCTCTCTCTCTCTCTCTCTCTCTCTCTCTCTCTCTTTCTCCTTTCTCTTTCTTCCTCTCTCTCTCTTTCTCTCTTTCTTTCTCTAATTATAGAAATTGGAGGTAAATAACCCCTTCAGTCTGTTGCATAGTCTCTCTCTCTCTCTCTCTCTCTCTCTCTCTTTCTCTCTCTCCTTCCCTCCCTTCCCCCCCCTCTTTTCTTCCTTTCCGAACTCATTTTCAAATAGCTCCCAATTCTCTTGATAAAAAGAATGCAACTTATGTCCCCTTCTGTACAGCCAAACTGGTTAAACATGCACTATGGCCAGATTCAGCTCTAATTTTAAGAGCACAAGCTATCTCTTACTGCTGTAGAGGAGCATAAGAAGGGACAATGGTTATTGTTTGATGTGCCACAAAATCCCTGTTGTTCGTGGGATGGGGAAGGGAAAAAAAACGGATGTGAATGGAAAGAAATGTGATTGTAGAGCTAACACAATAGATCCTTGGTCCCCGGAGAAGGCAAATTCACGGTAGGAGCAGTTCCTCCCGCATCACAAGGCAAAAGTGAAATCATTAGACCTCCTAAGTGATTCTTAGGTTCTCATTGTCCTCATCTCATCTGATTAAAGTTGAAGAATTCATTCTTTGGCTGCTGTGTTTTGCTTGCTCAGTGCCGGGCAATGACTACAACACACAAAGCCTTCAAACGAATTGTCAACCTTCCTGACTTGGCCATTGAAAAAAAGAAAGACTCTCGGACCCATTGTTAGCCAAAAGTATACTTTACTACAGCCAAGTGATTACAGAAGAAGCAAAGCCGGATATGGGATTTGCACGTGCAAAGCGTATGGTTAACTTTTCCCTTGTTCCCACCTTCCCTCCCTGGTTATCTTTGTGTGTCCAATTAGATTCTAACAAGTTGTTTGGGTAACAATCCCCGGCTTTGTGGGCTGGATGGTGCTGCATTCCATAGTGTGACCTTGGAACAGCCGGGGGGCTCTCACGGGACTGCATGATGAGTAGCTTCGATTCCTCTCATGCTACCTCCCCCCTTTATCCCACCCTGCAGTCCTTCATAAGTTGTAGGGGCCTTGATCACTGGAAGCTTTCAAGAAGAGACTGGACTGCCATCTGTCAGAAATGGGGCAGGGTCTCCTGCTTGCGTGGGGGGTTGGACTAGGATCAGAGGAAGGCAGCCTTGGCTCTTTTATGACTCATGGACTTCAACTCCCAGAATTCCTGAGCCAGCCACCCTGAGGGGAAAGAGAGAGGTTTTCAAGCTGAGCAATTCTGACTCAGGAATTCTGAGAGTTGAAGTCCACGAGTCATAAAAGAGCCAAGGTTGCCTACCCCTGGACTAGATGACCTGCAAGGTCTTTTCCAACTCTGTTATTCTATTCTGTTCTCCCTGCTGAGTTTGGCAGGTTGGCAGCAAGCGAAGCGTGGCATGGCAGGCTGGCAGTCCTGACAAGAATGTTGGTCTTGATTGGATATTTGTGAGGTACAGAGGACTAACTGATTCCTTGGGAGTATAGCAAAGACTTGTAACGAAGAACACAAGAGAAAGATCTCAAACCAGACAGTAAAGTAATGGGTCTACTCTAATCTCAAGCAAGACAATAAAGCAATGGGGTCTGCTCTAATCGCCTGGGCAAGAAAAAAACTATTCTCAACCTTAAGGTGGGTGGACTTCAACTCCCAGAATTCCCCAATTCTGGGAGTTGAAGTCTACCCGTCTTAAAGTTGCTATCAACCTAGCGAGGTAATTCCAACAGGGATTCCAACCAGATGGACTTATTCTTCTTTACTGTAAGGTTACAGTAACAGGATCTTGCAAGTCTGAAAGTACATCTTCCCCCTGCCCCATCTTTACAGGTAACCAAACTAGGGAGGGTCTCTTCTGAGATGTTTCCTGCCCTCCTGAGGTGGGCTAGGATGCCTCTTATCCGGCCATTCCATTGATTGTGGCTCTTCCCGCATCTCCCAACCTCATTCTCACATACCATTAACCCTTGCGGCGGTTGAGAAACCCAGTTCTCGGCTAAACACACCAGCTTCCTCCTCCGTTTCTTCTTTTCCACTAAATGGGAACCCCGCTTCTCTTTGTAAAAGGGGTGGCCCTTTTCCACGGGGAGTAAACACCGAAGAGAGGTTTTGGAATCACCCAACTGGGCTTTCTCTGCTTCTTCCGTGCCCAGAAGTCTTCATCAAGGGCTTTGTGGGAAGCATCAGCTCTTACATGTAGAACGCTGCAGCTACTATCATGAAACCCTGAGGAGGTTTTCTCTTACTCTGCGAGAAATCAATAGTTCCTTGGCGGTTTCCCAAGAGCTGCAGAAGGAACGGAAAATGAGGAAGCAGACTGGAATTGTTGGACTTGAACAGGGTATTGATCCACTCAAGTGCAACAGCTCTCTAGAGGTCCACTCCAGAAGTAGCAAAATGTCAGACTTCCCAGGTAAATCAGACAGGAAACATGATCAGATGGGCTAATTCTACTGTACTGTGCAGATCTCCCACCGTCTCTTAGAACGGGTCCTCAAACTTGGCCACTTTAAGACTTGTGGACTTCAACTCCCAGAATTCCCCAGTCTTCAAGAGAGGCTGGCCAAGTGGAATACCCTCCATTTCTCTCCTC